GGGGTATCCAGTTTTTAATCTACATACTTCTTCAAGCTAATCAATGCAAAAGTAGACAAAATGCAAAACAAGATCCTCTTTAGAGTGCGATTCAGTTTGACTAGCTTAAGAGATTGTGTAATTCTAGATCACAACGTAAAACAAAGTAGTTGGAAAGCCTAACACCCATACAATAGCATAATATACGACAAGCATTGTCAGTGACGTCTACAACTAATTTGACATGTTTAGGTTTCAAATCAAAAGTGTATTCAGATACATCTGATATAAAATGTCAGCTTCAACTAATAACGCAAAAATATAGGTCTGGTCGTACGTAATGTAGCTCAGCACATTCTTCTCAATACGATATTGAAATTGGAACGAAAGAAAACATTAATTTGGTCCAGTGCATAGAAACGAAAAAAAAAAGAATTGTCAATATTATTCCAGAATTCAACTGGAAGGAGTAAAGTTTAGCAGGTTTTAAGAAAACACACCAAAGCCAAATATGTGTTAGTTTCTGTTGTCTTCACCTACTGTAAGAAATTAGGAGAAGCGTAACTTTAAATGCTATTTTTCCAAAGAAATTAAGATTTGGGAAAAGTCGTTTCAATAGATGAAGCTCATGCACCGGGCCAGAAAAGTGTTCTCCTTTGATGGTTACTATTTGTCATGAACATGCAAATCTAAGAAAATTATTTTTAAAAAGTAAACCAAACATAAAGTAAAAAACAAAAGAAAACTTATCTCTACCTTGTTCGTGGTTGATGTTATTCTTTCTCTCATTCCTTCCATCCCTCGCGGTTGCTGTTACAAAAAGCAGACGGAAATGACATCAGCTCTTGTTTAAGAGATTACATTTACCGTGATGATTATGCTTTTTGATGTTTAAGTAATGGAGGAATTATGCATGAAGAAAACATCAAATAATAGCAAATTCTTGGAAGTGTTGACTCTTTTCTGACGTTGGAACGAAGACTCCCAAGGAGAAACAAACCGAACACAAATTCTTCTTCTTCTTTACGTTTCCCCGCTTGGTCACAAGGGTAATCAACTGCCGGTTCGTCAATCTGCATTGCAACTGATTATTACGTATGTGACCATCTTCCATACTAAGTATGGTCCCTTGCCTTCAACCAGTCATATTCCTATTTCGAAGGTAGACTACAAATACGACTCTAGATATTTTTTAAAACACAAACTATTTTCAGTCCACGAACCACAATGCAAAGTTTCCTCACGTTTCTCCAAAGATATTCACAAGTGCTTCCACAATGTTACATTGTTCCGAAGAAGCAAAGCATGGGATAGTAAAATGTAGTAATAATAAGAACTGATAAGTAGTTGTTTTGGCTGTTTCACTGTACAAGTTAGACTTTGACACGATATTCCCGTCTGTCTGTTACCCACTTATTCATAACTTGAAAGCGTGAGCAATTGTGCACATTGCCTATATTTGCTAGAAGAGTATAGCTTGTTATTTCAAACTTAAGTAATTCAGGCTGTATGCACATATTGTATTTATTTTTTCTTTGAAAGAACAAGCAAAAGTTTATCATGCACTACAGCAGGATCATTATATATGTATACTTGAATCAGTAGGGAAAGATAAAATAAAATATACATGGAGAATTAATAGTAAAGACGAAATATAATACATTGTAGAAAGCATGCACTAGACAGCATGGAGACGTTGATGTGAAAACTGGCTATGCTAATTCCTAAAATTTCATTAAAGTAGTTCGAGCCGAAGTTCCTATAGAAACAGCAGGCGTAGCTTTTAGTTAGCTTAATACGTTCATCATTATAGTCAAACTACTTTTTTCATGTCTTGAAAGATGCTTGATTCACTGAGAAAGGTAACCAATAGGTGTGGTCGTTTTACTGAAGTTTGTCGCGCCACATAGACACGACGGAAGAGAGTTGTTTCGAAGGCGAGGAATTCAATCCACTACCAAGTCACGGACAAGAAGTAAATACTCTGAGAAAGGCAATGAAAACAAAATGTCAACTCTCTTGGATTCGAATCTCGAACTTTCGCGGGGCAGATCAAGTTTGCAATGTACTGTGCTACAGCGGCGTTTGGCAACGAGGGGAAAAGATTAATCTTGAAGGAGATGTCTAATGATGAGTTCTTCTGGTGCCTAGCAGTGACGCACTTCTGATCGCATTCCTTTGAGAAGGATATGGCACGGTAGAAAAATATATGAGGGAACAACGTATGTAGAGTTTCTTCCAGTATTTTCACAATCTCCACTCACGTCTCAGCTTTGTGGAGAGAATATAATCACTTGTTATCCTATTCATTGTTGACTGCAGATGAAAAGATCACAGCACAAAGACAGTGTCCACGCTCACGTATAGAGATGTCTGTGCTCGTCAATAAATTCCCGGGACAAGCATAGCGTTTTAATCTTGTTAAATTGGCCATCTCTGTAATATTCGTGTGGAATTTCGAGTACACATTGTGTTCTATCCCGTCTTCCCAGGAGACAAAGGCAAAGACGGATAAGACGGATAGGGAAGTTATCTCTTTTCGATCGGTTTTATTCACGTTTTAGTGTTCCTGCTTTTACCTGAAACAAATTATTACGACCATGGTTGTGTCGATACGATTATCTGTGTCTCAGAATCAAACAAAAGACGCCAATAACGTACATCTGTGTGATACTTGTTGTCCCATCTTTACTACTTTGCTACTGATTTGATTCAGCGATTACAGGAAGGCGATTTCTCTGATAAAAAAAGAAGCAGCCCTCGTGAGCCCTCCCCTTCTCAGTATGAGGAAGGTAGACGACAAACCACGAACATCGCTTTCCTCTTTTCCTGTTGCAGCATAAACAATCCGTGCTTTGTGAGAAGACAAGCAGCATCTGTCAAGATTTCACGCGATAAATGCGAACATAAAGATGGCGATAACAGTCAGCATGCCAAGAACGTCATCGTAGACAGACACTTTTCGTTGCGAGGTGCTGACAAGTGATGCGATGCACCGCAAAACTGCCTCGTTTACCAACTTCAAAGGAAAAGCTCTCTCCGTTTTTGTTTATTTGACTTGATAGCCTAGAAACAAATATTCGGAAGCGCAAGGGAGCAAAAAGAAAATAAGAAAATTTGAGTGATAAATCACAATGCTTATTATATCATTAACTAATGCATATGGCGTACAGGAAACATTCCAGCATAGAGTGGTATGAAGAGAACATTAGTGAAACAGACCAGGAACCATAGTATCTGGTTTAATGAACGCTTTTTGTCCTTCATGTATGAACGATGCTCTATAAACATTAAGGGAACAGAACATTATCGCAATAAAATAGAGAAGATACAATGCACCAGAGAATCAGAACAAAGTTGGGAAAATGTATGTAGAGTCAAGCAGTAACTGAACAGAGATAGAGGCTAGAAAAAAAAACGTAGCATATTTCTGACATGATAAAATTCGTAGTGGCATACAGCGCGGCGCAGATACACTATGATCTCTGATCCCATTAACATAATAATTTTGTAAAAGGAAGTATTCTCTGATCTCGCCAATAAACTCGTACTGAGTCACATTTATCGTATTGTTGGTCCGATGGTGTTCTTTTTTCGGTTTGTTAAATTCTGGAAGCGAATCTCGATGTTCCTCCTAGTAATGATATGTCAACAATAAAATAATTGAATTAATACGCCAGGAGAAAGTGTGCGTAATCCAACAACATTACACAAATAATGACAGGCATTCCTTGCTTTGCAGTGAAAAAAAAAGAACCTTACGTGTCAACGAAATAACGAACAATCCAATATTTCCAGTGTTGCGCCTTGACAATTATTGTAATTAACTACAAAACTACTTCACCCCTTTTCCCCCATGCCAATTATAAAGGACAGTTTTATAATTTATTCATGTCGTAATTTGTCTAAATAACCCCCTTACCCCTTCCTGCCTCTGCCAATTTAAAACAGTTTTATAACCAATTCGTGTCATAAAACACACGCTCACACACAAACACACAACAACAACAACAGCATCAAAGACAACAACAACAATGATCGCAACAATTCACCCCGATCCTCCTAGCCCCACTCAACACTCATCCCCTATCATCACACACATCCCAACCCCTCCCCCCCTCCCCACACACAGACATCCCCCTAACCCCCCCCCCCCTTCCTTACCATTGACCCTGAGCAGGATGTGGTTGATGAGCTTGGTCCTGCTGCTGACCTGACACTCGTACACCCCGGCGTCTTCCGTCTTGAGGTCACGGATGAGCAGACGCCACTCCTTGGCCTCTTCCACGCCATGGGCCGAGTAGCGCTCGTCACCCACGTACACGTCTTCGCCGATTGTCAGAGGGTTCGGATCCGACGCTCGTCTCCAGCTCACCTATAATCAGAGTGGATCAAAGGTTTCTATTTAATACATGGTCCTTCATCAAAGTTTTTTTGGAGGAAAATCATGAAAAATTCACTGGTCGGACACCGTCAGAAATGTAGTATAGTATAATGGAAACGAACCAAACAACAACCAATTGACCGAGAGATAAAAAGAAAAGAAAATGGCGATGGATTGAGCAAACACTCAGGATGCCAGCCCACAACATAACAAGACAAAGCCTAAGATGGAATCCCCGGGGAAGAGAAAGAGGAAGACCGAGATGCACCTTGGAGTAACATCTAGAAGCAGACCTCAGGAGAACACAGCTGGCCGGAGGAGAAGATAGCCGCTTTTCTTGGGCAGCCTATATGCAATATCAGGGTGAAGAGGCGAATGGTAATGATTTCGTTACACATGTGGTCAGATTTGATTAAATGTGTGTACAGTCGAAGTATTCATCCCAGACTGGTGGTTCCTAGTAGACAGTGTCATCATCAATATAGGAAAAAGTGAAGGGAGGGAAGTGGGAAGTTGTAGTTTGCGTAGGTGATTGTCTTGCGTAAGTGGTCGTTAGAGGAAGTTCGACTGTATTTGGTATAAGACGGGCGCTCAGGTGGTACAATTCTGGACCACCGTGCAAATATGTATATGGGCATGGTTCGAATCTTTAATGGGGCGCTCTTTGACATAGATTGTGTATGGAGCTTTTCTGTCTCTTCACCCGCTTAACTCGGTTCTTCTAGATATGGCCGTTAGGCCAGACCCCC